CACTGCAGCCTCTGCCTCCTGGGTTCAAGCGATTCTCCTGCCTCAGCCTTCCGAGTAGCTGGGACTACAGGTGTGTGCCATCATGCCCGGCTAATTTTTGTATTTTCAGTAGATAAGGGGTTTCATCATGTTGGCCAGGATGATTTCAATCTCTTGACCTCGGGATCCACCCGCCTCAACCTCCCAAAGTGCTGGGATTACAGGCGTGAGGCACCGTGCCCGGCCAACATAGTTTAATTTTATCTCAACTTGGCAATATTCTCCAAACATTGTTTTTATTTGCTTGTTTTCTTCTGAACACCTTCTTCAATAAGCCAAATGAAAAAACAAAAACAAAACCAACAGCACTGAACAACTTGAACATGAAACCCCAATATGTATTTACTTAAAATGTGAAAATTATACTTACGTATGACAGACAGAATAGAGTAGTAGTTATGAATGTAAGCTTTCCAGCCAGACCATGGAGTTCAAATCCCAGTTCTGCCACCTGTCTACTATATGATCTTAGAGGGATAGCTTGACCTTTCAGTGCCTGGAAAGTAGAATTAATAATACCTACCTCATAGAGTTGTTGTAGGGGTTCAATGAAATGATATATGTAAGCTATTAGAATGTTGCCTGACATAGAATAAAAACTCATTGACATTACCTATTATGATGATTACTGTGCAGCAAAATAGGTACCTTATAAAATACTTTAAAATTATAAATGTAAGATTAAGATAGGCGGTAATCCCAGTACTTTGGGGGACCGAGACAGGTGTATCACTTGAGGCCAGGAGTTCAAGACCTGCCTGGCCAACATGGTGAAACCCCATCTTTACCAAAAAATACAAAAAAAATTAGCCGGGCATGGTGGCGTGTGCCTGTTATCCCAGCTACTCGGGAGACTGAGGCAGGAGAATCGCTTGAGCCCGGGAGGTGGGTTCAAGTGAGCCAAGATCGCACCACTGCACTCCAGCCTGTGTGACAGAGTAAGACCCTGTCTCAAAACAAACAAACAAACAAAAAACAAAAAAAGCACGAATGAATGAACAAAAAGAGATTAATGTTACAGAGGTTCTGTTATGTCCCTTCACCCTCATGAATTGTCTTGTGATGTCTGGGGTGTATACACCCCCACTTTGGAAACTGCTGGCTTAAGCAATGATAGGAACATACTATGTCCCCGGGTATTTTGATTTTTGAGATGCTCTGTAAAGCTTGGAGGACTGTGGGTGGGCGGATTCTTCCATGCTTGGATTATGCACACTCTCATTTCTGCACAAACCTCTTGGCTTCTCTGCTTGTAAACAGTAATCAAATAGGATTGAAGTGTGGGGCCGGGAGTTGCAGGCTCCTTGCCAGTCCTACCCAGTCATTCCTAAGTATGGAGGCTGCATGGGCTCTGCCTCTTGCCTTGCATCTGCCACCCTGTGCTTAAGCAACTCCCACAAAGCTTAACTCCTGGAGACAGTGGCCGGTGGGGACAGCTGCATGTCAGTCTGTGCTGTGAAACCAGCCATCCTTGCAACCAAATGTGACAGCTGCAGATTAAAGCAGAATTACCTAAAGATAGGTTTGTAGGACACACACTGGCCGAGTCCCCTGCTGCCAGCAGCTGCTTTTCTTGACATGGGGCCAACCCAGAAACTTTGCGGGATACCCTCAGATGCTCCAGCAGCTCTAGAGAGGTGGTGATGGCCCTGAAACTGCTGAGAGCAGCTGGTTTCGTCAGGGATGGCTGAACGTCTGGATCAACAGTGAAACCTCTGACTCTTTGCCAGGGAGCGGGCTGGTGGGCGCTGCGTCGATAGCCGTGACTAGTAAACCCAGCGGGAACCAGGTCTAATTACAGTAGAGCTACAGAAATTGCCCCCACATTCCAGCTGCTTTAAGTCAGATAATTTTAGGGTTGAGAAAGACCCTGGAGATCACCTAATGGATCCCAAACCTAGTTGCTTACAGCATCAATGAGAAGCCTTAAAATTCTTATAGTGAATTAGCTCAGTCATATAAAACAGTGGAGGGGCTGAGTCACCACATCATCCTGTGTTCCACTTAACTGAAGAAATGGAGGCCGGGCGCAGTGGCTCCCGCCTGTAATCCCAGCCCTTCGGGAGGCTGAGACAGGCGAATCACTTGAGGTCAGGAGTTCAGGACCAGCCTGGCCAACATGGTAAGACCCCATCTCTACTAAAAATACAAAAATTAGCGGGGCCTGGTGGTATGTAATCCCAGCTATTCAGGAGACTGAGGCAGGAGAATCACTTGAACCTGGGGGGCAGAGGTTGCAGTCAGCCGAGATGGCACCACTAAACTCCAGTCTGGGTGACAGAGTGAGACCCCATCTCAAAAAAAAAAAAAAAAAAAAAGTTTCCCAAGCATTCCCAGTGACCCAGTGATGAGCCAGGATTGGTGAATAACCGCTCTCACAGGGGCTTGCCTGAGTGGACTGAGCACCCGTGTTGAAGTTAAAAAACCTGACATCCCATCCTGATGGTGCCACCTCCCACCTGTATGACACCTGGCAAGGGGCATATTCCCCAAAACCTCAATTTCTTCACTGTAAAAAGAGGATAAGGACAATAAACTACCTTTCGAGCTTATGCATGTATATGAAGCTCTAAAACACTACACAGACATAGGACTTAAGGGCTCATGCCAAGGGCTCATGCAGCCTAGGGTTGGTCACCTCCAGTGACAGGAGGCTCATTACTTTCAGAGACAGCACCCCCCTCCTTTTTTTTTGAAAGCTCTGATGGACAAAATGTCCTTCCTTATTCTGAGTAGAAATCTGTTCTCTGTCATTTTCTCCTATTGGATTTAATTCCACCCCTCAGGGAACCACAGAATAAACTTAATCCTTAATTTGCAGACCAGTCTTTTGAATAATTGAAGACAATATAGCCTTTTGGCTTTCCTTCCCTACCTCAATTTTAGGCTTCTCCACACACTGTACTGAGAAAGTCCCTTTATGAATAAGCAATATTCCCAGAAATTACCATAGGCATGGCTCCATTTCAGCAAACCAGAGAGGCTGTGTTCCTGGATTAGTGATTCAGGAAAATCCATTTAGCATCTAGTTAATTAAATCCCCCAGTCACATCAAATCAAATTGTTAATCACCTGTGCTATGGGAGCTACTTATTAAAGTATTTGCTTAGTAAATGTATAACATCTATGCAACCCTTTTATGTGCCAGGCACTGCTCAGTGATTTGCATACACTCAGTTCTTATGATAAACCCTGAAAGGTAACCACTGCTATTATTTCCGTTTTACAAATGAGGAAACTGAGGCTCAGAGAGGTTCAGAAGGTGCCCAAGATGATGCAGCCAGTAAGTGACATAGTGGGGTTTGGACTCAGGTCTGGCTGACTCTAAAGCCCACATGGGCCTGGCATGGTGGCTCATGCCTGTAATCCTAGGCATGAGGGCCAAGGTGGGAGGATCACTTGAGCCTAGGAGGTTGAGGCTGCAGTGAGCCATGATCATGCCAGCCTGGGTGACAGAGTGAGACCCTGTCAAAAAAACAAGGCCGGGTGTGGTGGCTCGCACCTGTAATCCCAGCACTTTGGGAGGCTGAGGTGGGAGGATGGGTTGAGCCCAGGAGTTTGAGATCAGCCTGGGCAACATGGTGAAACCCCATCTCTACAAAAAAATACAAAAACTTAGCCAGGGGTGGTGGTGTGTGACTTTGGTCCCAGCTACTCAGGAGGCTAAGGTGGGAGGACTGCCTGAGCCCAGGAGGTAGAGGCTACAGTGAGCCAAGATCACAACACTGTGCTCTAGCCTGGGTGACAGAGCAAGACCCTGTCTCAAAAACAAAACAAAGTAAAGCCCATGTGCTCAGGACTGTGGCAATAGCCTCCTGAGGTAGAAATTCTAAAACAAATGAACCTAGAATTCCAAAATACTCTCTTAACTGGAACTAAATCAAACTATTTCATTTGAAATTATTTGATAAGAAGAAGCTGGCCATTCTACTTTCAAGAATAGGGTTATTTTGTTGTTTTTTTTTTTTAGATGGAGTCTCACTTTGTCACCCAGGCTGGAGTGCAGTGGTGCAATCTCAGCTCACTGCAACCTCCGCCTCCTGAGTTATAGCAATTCTCCTGCCTCAGGCTCTTGAGTAGCTGGGATTATAGGCGCCCACCACCACGCCCAGCTAATTTTTGTATTTTTAGTAGAGACAGGGTTTCACCATATTGGCCAGGCTGGTCTTGTACTCCTGACCCCCAAGTGATTTGCCCACTTTGGCCTCCCAAAGTGCTGGGTTTACAGGTGTGAGCCACCATGCCCAGCTGTTTTGTTTTGTTTTGTTAAGAAAAATGTACATAACATGGAAATGCACAGATCTGAAATGTACAGATTTGGTGAGTTCCGGCAAACACAGAAATCTGTCTTAAATTCCAATCAAGATAAAACAGGTTCATCACTACAGAAAATTTTCTCATGCCCTGCCTAGCCAGTTCCCAGCCCTGGAGGTGACTGCCCACTGTTCTATTTCCGATACGAAGATTGATTTTTGCCTATCCTTGGCATGTCATGGGTGGACTCATGTAGCGCATACTCTTTTGTGCCTGGCTTCTTTTGCTCAACATGTTTTGAGCCTCAGTCTCCTTGTGTGTGCATCAGCTGCTCCTCTTTTTCATGGCTGAGTACTACTCCATTATATGAATATACATTTTCTCCATTCCTCTTATAACAGGTTTTAACACTGATACATCACATAGATGTAATAATATGTAAATCACTCATTTATTCATTAGGCAAATGTCTTTCCAGAGCTTTCTCTATGCAAGGTACTATTGGAGGTGCTAGGAGACTTTGGTGAAAAAAAAACGAAGCCCCTGCTCTCACAGGGCTTTTCTCTATAGCAGGAGAGAAAAACAATATAGAGGAAATTGAAGGAATGAACAAGGCAGTAGTGGGAAGTGCTATGAACAATAAATCTGAGTGAAGGTGCCAGAGTGGCTTGTAAGGACGTTGGGTTTTCCTTTTTTTTTTTGAGACAGGGTCCCACTGTCACCCAAGTTGGAGTGCAGTGTTGTAGTCTCAGCATTGCAGCCTCAACCTCCTACCTCAGCCTCCTAACTGGGACTACAGGCACCACGCCCAGCTAATTGTTATTTTTGTAAAGACAGGGTCTATGTTGCCCAGGCTGGTCTCAGGTCTTCTTTACAAGTCACGCAGGCCCACGTGAGGGACCTGGAAGAGAACTGGGGTCATACAAACAGTGGTACTTGAACAGTTTCACAGCTTATGAAACTCCCTGGCATTGACTCATTCACCATTATTACCCTCTCTTCATTTTTTTAGATGAGAAAACTAAGGCATAGAAAGATTAGCAACTTGTCCCAGGACAAGTGTCAAGTCCAGGTCTTGAACCCAGGCAACATAGTGCTGTGGTTACCATATATGCTTTGGAATCAGACAGGGCCAAGATCGAAGTCCTCTTTCACCTGGATGTCCTTGGGCATGTCACAGTCTGAGTCTCCGTTTTCTCATGCATCACATGAAGGGGATACAGTCTAACTCACAGGGTTGTTAAAACTGAAAGATAATCTCAGGTAAAGAATTTAGCGCGCTGTCCACCGCCGCTGCCTGAGCCGACTTCGCACTGACGACCGCCACCGCCGTCCAATTCTTGGTGCAGAGCCCGGACGTGGTCTACCGCGTCAGCAGCGAGGGCGGCGTCCTCAAGGTGCACCTCAAGTCCACGAGCTTCACCTTCCGGACCGCGTGGCCGGCAGGTGCCCAGGCTAGGGGTCATGCTTGTCGGCTGAGGTGGGAACAACGGCTCGACGCTCACCGCCGCGGTGCTGGCCAACCTACTGTGTCTGTCCTGGCCCACACGCAGGGATCGCAAGGAGGCCAACTACTACGGTTCGCTGTCTTAGGCGGGCACCGTGAGCTCGGGCCTGGACGCCAAGGGTCAGGAGGTGTTCGCGCCCTTCCGCCGCTGCTGCCCATGGTGGCACCCAACGACCTCATGTTCGATGGCTGGGACATCTCGTCGCTGAACCTGGCAGAGGCGATGCGGCTCGCGAAGGTCCGCATTGGGGACTGCAGGAGCAACTGCGGCCACACATGGAGGCCCTGCAGCCCCGGCCTTCGGTATACATCCCAGAGTTCATCGCGGCCAACCGGAGCGCGCGCGCGCGGACGGCCTCATCCCGGGCACGCGCGCGCAGCGGCTGGGGCAGATCCGCAGAGACATTCGAGACTTCCGGTCTAGCTCAGGGCTGGACAAAGTCATCGCGCTGTGAAACGGCGAACACAGAGTGCTTCTTTCTGTGAGGTGGTCCCAGGTCTCAACGACACGGCCGAGAACCTGCTGCGCACCATCGAGCTTGGCCTGGAGGTGTCGCCCTCCACGCTCTTTGCCGTGGCCAGCATCCTGGAGGGCTCTGCCTTCCTCAGTGGGTCCCCACAGAAAACCCTGGTGTCCGGAGCCCTTAAGCTCGCGTGGCAGCGCCGGGCTACGTGGGCGGAGATGACTTCAAGTCAGGCCAGACAAAAGTCAAGTCCGTGCTCGTGGACTTCCTCATCGGCTCCGGCCTCAAGACCAAGTCGACTGTGAATTATAACCACCTGCGGAATAAAGACCAGCAGAACCTGTCGGCACCATCGCGGTTCCCTCTGAGGAGGTGTCCAAGAGCAACGTGGTGGACGACATGGTGCAAAGACACCCAGTGCTCTACGCGCCCAGCTAGGAGCCTGACCACTGCGTGGTCATCAAGTACATGCCGTATGCGGGCGACCCCAAGCGTGCGCTGGATGAGTCTACCTTGGAGCTGATACTGGGCGCAACCAACACGCTGTTGCTGCACGACATGTGCGAGAACTTGCTGCTGGCCGCCCCTGTCATGCTGGACCTGGCGCTGCTGACCGAGCCCTGCCACTGCGTGAGCTTCTGCACTGATGACAACATCGAGCCACAGACCTTCCACCCCATGCTGTCCCTGCTTAGCTTCCTCTTCAAGGCGCCGCTGGTGCTGCTGGGCAGCCGGGTGGTCAATGCACTTTTCCGCCAGTGCAGCTGCATTGAGAACATCGTCAGGGCCTGTGTGGGGCTCCCGCCACAGAACCACGTGGTCCAGGAGCACACGATGGAACTCCCGGTGCCTGGCCTCAAGCGAGTCGGACCCGTGGCTGCCACCTGCCCTGTGTCAAACAAGAAAGGACCGGGACCCGCTGCCACCAATGGCTGCACCGGTGATACCAATGGACACCCATAAGTGGAGGAACCCCAGATGCACACCACCTGAGGCCCTGGTCACACAACTTCCCGGCCTTTCCCCGCCTGCACCCCAGGACCCAACCTTTCCAGGCGCCCACAAAAACAATAAAGCCGGTGCCACTCTCAAAAAAAAAAAAAAAAAAAAAATTAGCTCTTTGCGGTTGGGTGCGGCGGCTCACGCCTGTAATCCCAGCACTTTGGGAGGCCAAGGCAGGCAGATCACTTGAGGTCAGCAGTTCGAGACCAGCCTGGCCAAAATGATGAAACCCCGTCTCTACTAAAAATACAAAAATTATCCGGGCATGGTGGCCCATGCCTGTAATCCCAGCTACTTAGGAGGCGGAGGCAGGAGAATCGCTTGAACCCCGGAGGTGGAGGTTGCAGTGAGCCGAGATCATGCCACTGCACTCCAGCCTGGGCAACAGAGCAAGGCTGTCTCAAAAAAAAAAAAAAAATCTTTGTGCTCATGTTCATTAATTCATGCAACACATGTGAATTTATCATCTACCACTAGGTAGGGAGGATACGATGGGGAATAAGCAGACACAGCCCCATCTCATGCAGCTAATAGCCTGTCATTAGAATAAATAAATTTGATAAAGAATGTAGATAAAGCACATGGAATGCCAACTTAACATAGTCTTGGGGAAGTCAGGGAAGGCTTCCTGGAGGAAGGGATGTTTAATATGAAAGAGTTTATCCAGTGAGGGAAATGTGAAGGTAGGAGAGGCTTCTTTGTAGTTGCTTTTGGGTGTGATTTTGGTTTTATAAATCAGATACACTTGCATGAGAATTGGAAGGCACGTGCATGGTGCCATGAATAGTATATCATTGCTGGTTTTACTGGAACATGTTTCATTGTCTGGGTACCAGCTTCTTGGGTATGAGAGGCAGGATGAGGCTCATCTGTTTTTTGTTGGATTGGATCTCTCAGGTGTGGTGTGGCTCTAAATCTAATACTCAGAGTTTTAACAGCTGAAGAGGTGTGGTCCTGAAGCCAGCAGCTTCAGCCTTCCTAGTGGTTGCAGCGTCCCTGGTAGGCTGGTCCTGGGGCCCGGTCTAGAGCCCGCTGCTCCAGCCCTTCCAGTGATATTTGTAAATTCTTTTTTTTTTTTTTGGAAATGGAGTCTCACTCTGCCACCCAGGCTGCAGTGCAGTGGCGCAATCTCAGCTCACTGCAATGTCTGCCTCCTCGATTCAAGAGATTCTCCTGCCTCAGCCTCCTGAGTAGTTGGGACTACAGGTGCCCGCACCATGCCCGGCTAATTTTTGTATTTTTAGTAGAGATGGGGTTTCACCATGTTGACTAGGGTGGTCTGGAACTCCTGGCCTCAAGTGATCCGCTGGCCTTGGCCTCCCAAAGTGCTGGGATTACAGGCATAAGCCACCATGCCCACCTGTTTGTAAATTCTTAATTTCCTATTTGAAATCCCTTTCTGCTTAAAATAATTGGAGTGGTTTCTATTTCCTGCGACTGACTCTTCCTTATACTACTGAGGTACAGGTAGATTCATTTATTTAGTTGTTATTTTCTGAACACCTAGAATGTACCAGGTACTAGTTTTGAACAAGGCCAAGGTCCTGCACCTTTGTGTTATTATCATGGCAGTTATATTCTCTATCAGAGCTATCCAATACGAACAGAATGTGAGTTACATGTGTGTTTTAAACATTGTAGTATCTGGCCGGGTGCGGTGGCTCATGCCTGTAATCCCAGCACTTTGGGAGGCTGAGGTGGGCAAATCACCTGAGGTCAGGAGTTCGAGACCGGCCTGGCCAAATGGTGAAACCCTGTCTCTACTAAAAATACAAAAATTAGCCGAGCATGGTGGCAGGTGCCTGTAATCCCAGTTACTCAGGAGGCTGAGGCAGAAGAATTTCTTGAACCCATGAGGCAGAGGTTGCAGTGAGCCGAGATCACGCCACTGCAGTCCAGCCTGGGCAACAGAGTGAGACTCTGTCTCAAAAAAAAAAAAAAAAAAAAAAAAATTAGTATCCATATTAAAAGAATAAGTGAAATTAACCTAACACATTCAGAATATTATCGTTGCAACATGTACTTAATATAAATATTGATTAATGAGACGTTTTGTGTACTTTTTTCATGTTAAGTCTTGGAAATTTAGTGTTTAGTTTTTACTTACAGTACATCTTGATTCAATGCAAAATTTTTATTGGAAATACTTCATCTGTATTACATTTCATTACATTTATGGTTGAAAAAGTAGATTCATCACTAAGAGGTTCCAGATATACTTAAATACTTTCCACTAGCCAAAAAAAGTCCCAAAAACAATTTTTCCTTAATATTTGCATCCATATTGACAAAACTTGTTCATCCTTTCTAGAAGGATTTGACTTTGGAGCAAAAGTTTATCAGTTTCAAAACTGTCTCTGTCCAAGTTAAGTAAATTAACCAACTCTTGAGTCAAGTCTGAAGCATACTACATAATTGAAAAATAACTCAAAATTTATCAATGATAATCATGTCCTTCACATTTGTTTCTGTCTTTGCAGCTTAACTTACATTAACATGTTTTAATTAAATGAAAATAACTTGCCTATTAATTTCATTTAGAAAAAAATATAAAATCATTGTTATTGATTTGTATTTTAAGTTTCAGTTTCGCCGGGTGTGGTGGCTCACTCCTATAATCCCAGCACTTTGGGAGGCCGAGGCGGGCAGATTACCTGAGGTCGGGAGTTTGAGACCAGCCTGACCAACATGGAGAAACTCCGTCTCTACTAAAAATACAAAATTAGCCGGGCATGGTAGCACATGCCTGGAATCCCAGCTACTTGGGAGGCTGAGGCAGGAGAATCGCTTGAACCTGGGAGGCAGAGGTTGCGGTGAGCTGAGATGGAGCCATTGTACTCCAGCGTGGGCAACAAGAGCGAAACTCTGTCTCAGAAAAAAAAAAAAAAGAAAAGTTTCAGTTCCAACATTCATTAAATGTCTAGCTATGTAACAAATAAACTTTTCCTTACCTTGGAGTTTCAAGTTTAGTTCATCCATGTGCAGTGTAATTTTTTCTTTTTTCTTTTTTTTTGAGATGGGGTCTTGCTCTGTCACCCAGGCGGCAGTGCAGTGGAACGATCTGGGCTCATTGAACTCTCCACCTCCCAGGCTCAAGTGATCCTCCCATCTCAGCCTCCTGAGGAGCTGGGATTACAGGCATGTGCCACCACACCTAGCTAATTTTTTGTATTTTTGGTAGAAACAGGGTTTCACTATGTTGTCCTGGCTGGTCTCAAACTCCTGAGCTCCAGCCATCTGCCTCCCTCAGCCTCCCAAAATGTTGGAATTATTGGCATGAGCTACTGCACCCGGCCAGATATGCAGTGTAATTTTGATGAGAAAACATAAATCATGCTGCCATTTTTTGTCTTTGATTATGGGATAATTTGCCAAGCATTCCCTTTGTTTAAAGAAAATCTTGAATTGGAGTTAAAAATACAGTAACCCTTTGTAAAGCTCTTCTGTGACTCAAAGAGCATTGACAAAGACCACAAGATCATTAAATCTGTCATCTTTTATTTCTTTCAACTGTTCCTTAAACTGAAGATGATTCATAGCATTTGAATGAATACAATGAACAATGTTAATCTATGATGCTTTTCACAGAGTTGGCTGCAGAAAACTAAGCACGACTATTTTCAAAATATATCACCTAATGGGATAAGCAATAAGGAAAATGTTAGTCTCTTATTTGAAAATTCTAATACATCCAAATTTTTGATTCAGCATAATGGAACTACCATTTGTGGTGAAAGAGACTAATTTTTTTCTTGTCTGGCTGGAATTCTTCTTTGACAGTTATGAAAGATTTAAAAATATCCATGCCGTGTGTTAGTTTCTTTTAGGCTATGAATTGACATTTCTTCATAAATTTGAAGTCCTTTGAGACAAAATATAACCAATGTATTAATTGCGCAGTGTATATTATATCAAATGACTCATCTGAAGCTAAAGTACTTGTGATTTTTCAAGATTATTGATTGGTTTTTGCAATTGTTAGAAAAGTCTTCATATTTTATGGACAATTATTTGAGGGCTCAATTGAAGAGCTTTCTCTTCTTGTGAAGTATCTTTTTAAATCTTTTCCTCAGAATTTTCTAACAATATTTTCATTGTCAAAAAATAATTTATTTTACCATTTTTTCACCTAAAAGTGTTTTTCAACTGAGTACTGTGGCACGTGCCTGTCGTCCCAGCTACTTGAGAGATTGAGATGGGGAGGATCACTTGAGCCTGGAACTTCGAGTCCAGCCTGGGCAACATAGTGAGACCCCCTCTCTAATAAGTAAATAAATATATTTTAAAGTGTTTTTCTTTTGTGAAAGAATTCCAGTCTTTTTATAGCTGGCCAAGTTTATAAGCACAGATCCTGTTTAGATTTGTTTAACAATTATTTTAAAATTAAACATTATTGATGGCCTGGCACAGTGGCTCCCTTCCCTAATCCCAGAACTTTGGGAAGTTGAGGCGGGCAGATACCTTGACTCAGGAGTTTGAGACCAGCCTGGGCAATGTGGCGAGACTTCATGTCTAAAAAAAAAAAAGAAAGGAAAGAAAAAAAAAAATAGCTGGATATGTTGGCACATGCCTATACTTCCAGCTATTATACTTGAGGCTGAGTTGGGAGGATCACCTGAGCCCCTGTAGGAAGAGGCTGCTGTGAGCCGAGATTGTACCACTGCACTCCAGCCTGGGTGACAGGATGAGAACCTGTGTCAAATAAAATAAGCATTATTGCTTGATATCTTCTCACATAGGAAAAAAAATTAAATATTCGACAAATTTTTGTCGAATGTTTAAGTTACCCAAAAACATTCAACAAATTTTTGTTTAATGTTAAATATGCCTTTAGGTAACTGATTTTGTGGATTCTTTTTTTTACTATTGAGAGGAAACTTCTTATCAAATCCACTATCAAATGCTGAAAATGTCTCTTAATATTATCCACTTTATTATTTTATTTAATTAATTAATTTATTTCTTTTGAGATGGAGTTTTGCTCTTGTTGCCCAGGCCGGAGCGCAATGGCATGACTTCAGCTCACGGCAACCTCTGCCTCCCGGGTTCAAACGATTCTCCTGCCTCTGCCTCCTGAGTAGCTGGGATTACAGGCATGTGCCACCAAGCCCGGCTAATTTTGTATTTTTAGTAGAGATGGGGTTTCTCCATGTTGGTCAGGCTGGTCTCAAACTCCTGACCTCGTGATCTGCCCACCTTAGCCTCCCAAAGTGCTGGGATTACAGGCGTGAGCCACTGCACCTGGCCACTTTATTATTTTAATAAGATTTTTTCTCTCATAAAAAAATATTGCTGCAGCAAATTGCAGTTGCTTTTTGTCATCTTTTTTTGGCTTTACTCTTCAGGTACTAGTTTCTGCATCTCCACTCAATTCTGCATCCATAGAATGCCTTTGCTTATAACTTCTAAATTTGCCCATACTTTTTTTAAACTAAACAAATTTAATTGCATCATAATTAAAATCAGTATTTCAATCTACCTCTTACTGTCTGCAGAAAGTATTTGTTTTTTTGTTTTGTTTCGTTTTGTTTGTGTTTGAGACGGAGTCTCGCTCTGTCGCCCAGGCTGGAG